CTCCGTGACAACCAGGAAGGCACAGGCACAGCTGCTCGATCAAGCCCCAGGACGGACATCACGCGCGACAGCCTTCCAGGCTCCCAGCCTCTCCCCCAGCTCAGCCGGATGCGGGGCTCAGAGCCTCTCACACAGGAAGGCCTTCGTGGCTGTGTGGGGACATTGTCCCACCCGGCACTCTGGGTCCCCGAGCACAACACAATGACAAGAGACTAAAAAGGGGTGTGGACCGAGGGGGTTCTTTTTACAAGTCACGCATCCCGCATGAACTCAAAACATCCCTGCCAGATTATGTCCGCTCTCCTCGTCTAGCCTGCACCTGAAAACACGCGGCTGACTGAGTCGGTAGTTTGAAATGTCATACAGGATGAAATAAATACAAATAAATAGCAAAAGAATGCAGAGCGAAGGGCCAGGAGGGGCAAAGGACCCAGACGTGGGCCCATGGAGGAGGAGGGAGAGAGGACACAGCCAAGGCCAGGCCTCCTGCTTGAGCACCCCGAGTTTGCAGGGAGAACGCTGGCCTGCAGCTGGGATGAGCGGCACAGCTGAACAAGCGGATGAGCTGGGAGGGATGAAGGAATCCACCAAGACGGGGAAAAGGAGACATATTCCCTGAAAAAAGGGATCACCCACAAGTGACTTTAAAGCATTTACCACTTAAAAACCTTTTAGCGGGGCCCCATTTGAATGATGACTACAGGATTTTAAATTACATTTTCTAATTCCTCACCACGGCAGCCCCCAGCCCGGCACTCGCTGCCACCTCATTTTCCAATTATGTACTTTTTGATTTCAGAACGACAAAGAGTGCTACTCCCCGGATCATGTCCCGTCTGCCGCAAATAGCTGCTCACTTATTTCTTGCATCTGAAGATAGGCGGGCAGACGGCTCATCCGGCCTCTCTGGACCTTCGGTCTCCCATGTTCCCATTACACAGGAGGAGGCGCGGGTCCCCAGGAAAGCCCCAGAGCCTGGACGAATGAGGGCTCCTTGCCCTCAATGCCCGTAACCACTGAGCAGGGCAATGATGGCACAGGGGGGCTGGATTTCATATTCAAGCACTCGAGGTACCCATGCTTAGTAGGGTCGGAAAGCTGCCCAGATTGGCTGCCAATGAGTGCCCAGGCCACCCATGCCCAGAAGCGAGTACAGGGTCCCCGTCGGCGCTCACCAGCCCCTATCACGGACACCTTGGGGTCACACCCTCCAGAGTTCCCTGGGCCTCGGGGAGCGAGGAAGAGGCGGAGGGCCATCGTGGCTCAGTCTTCCAGTGCAATGTGCCCAGAAAGTAAATGCAGATTTACAGTTCTGGTAGAAATCTATTAAGCAGATGTCGCTGAAGCATCATCAAGTCGGCTCTATGGTAATGCTACACTTACGTCTGAGACTGGGGCTTTGCCATTTTTATGATCAGCTCAAGAATGTCTTTCCTGATCTTGCAGAAATCTGCAATTAAGGATTAACACCCCCCCCAACACACAAAAGTATGATCAATTAAATAACGCATCTGAATGACAAACTCACAAAAGCCCATGTTCTGCTCCCTGCCTGCTGGCATGCAGGCAGCACTCAGAGTGCGTGAGGGGTACAGGCGACGAGCATTTTGCTTTTTCCATAAATATAGCAAGCCCCCCCCCCCCCCCCCCCCCCCGGCCAAAAAAAAAAAAAAAGACCAGGTTGATATGCAGGGGGACAAGGCTAGGTGCGGGGAAGGGCTCCCGTGGCTGGTCGGGCAGCCACAGCCTTGCAAGCTGCAGTATTGTCTCAGAAATGCAAGAAAAATGAAATGGAGGGAAACCATAAGTGTGTTGGAAATTGGAAGCAGGCATCATTTTCTCCTTCAAGTGATGAAATACGCATGGGCGATGCCAAAAGTCTTTTCATGTGGAGCAGCGCCGAGCCTCTGATCCTTCGTGCGAAGCGGGATGCAGCTGCGAAGCCGAGCCAGACCAGTTACCTCCTCGCTGATGCCAACTTTGCCAGGGCAGGCCAGGGCAGCAGAGCCACAGGATGGTGGTCAGGTGTCTCTGGCTCTGAATAAGGTGCAGGTGGCAAGGCAAAAGAGGGGAAAAAATTTTTCTCCTTCCTCGTCTTGTGTTTTGACAGTCGCTGCTTCAATGTCCAGGCTGTGGCTCGGAGCTGGCCAACCCAGCTCGCACAAAACCCCGTGTCCCCACCTCCACCCCAAGCCGAATTCACAAAAAGACCAGAAAGATCTGGATTCAAAGTGTGAGCTCAAAACGACTGCAGGGACCCTGCACGGATTTGAATGCTTTAAAATGAGACCGGGCAGCCATAAGTACTTCAAACAAAACCAGAGTATAAGCAAGTCTCGTCTCATTAGGGGAAGAAGGGGAAAAAAAAGTCAAAATAAAAGCAAACATTTGTATTAGCAGCAGCCAGGACAGGGGAAGGCCATCCTCCCTGCCTTCTCCTCCCCGGACTGCCCCCTGTGCCCCAAGCCTCGGGCACATCCGACCCACAAGGAAGACCCCCTTGGCAAGTCTGCCTCTTGTGGGTGGTGGTCGTTGCAGGGACCACCACCTTTGCTCTGAGGGGCACCTCCCCACCCCGTCCCACCAGGGCCCCTTGCTCCAGAGGCACAGGCAGACAAAGCTACTTATTGCCGAACCAGCAGGCAAGAGCGCAAGGAGAGGAAGGATGGAGAAAACATTAAAAGACCCCCGCTCCTTGTTTTTGTTCCAGCAAGGGAGGGGCAATGGGAGAGACATGTCATGCTGTTGTCACTTTAAAGATTTTGACAGACAATCCAGAGACCAGGCAGAAATCCCGCACAGAACTGCTGCAGCTTGCGAGGCAGTAACTGCCCTCTGTCCATCACTGAGTGCCTGGGCCTCCTCCAGACCAGCTCAGAGTCTCTGCAGGCCCCACCAGCCTTGGCCAGTGCCAAAGCCTGCGACTGGGAAAACGAAGTCACTTCTACCAAAGCAGAGTCCAGGAGCGTGAACCTGCTTCCGGAACACTGCAGTGAAATCAAATGCTATCCTTAAACTCTTCCAGCCAGTGGAGACAGAGAGAGGAGGGGCGAGAGCTGCGTCCTAGGTGAGGCCGCTGCCTACCTGCGAGTGTCAAGTTCAAGGCAGAACCAATGTACTCCCATCGCTTTCACTGGATGAAGACTGCAAAGTCTCCCGGGTACACTAGGCACAATTTTAAAGGAGGCATCTCTGAAATGTTCCTGGCAGAGTCGGGGCCACAGCAGAAACTCCCTGAGACTCCTGGCCTGTACCAACACCTGCTCCTGCTCCACCTGTCCACGTACACGTGGGCCATGGGCTGGGATCCTGAGCATGCCACACAGTAGACAGCCGAGAGCAGGTGACACAGCAGCATGCCAGGGCTCCAGTCTGAGGCAGGCCTTCCTGAATTCCTGGGGCTGAAGGAATATGTGGGAAGGCAGCCACAGAATGGAGCCCTTTCCCAAGGGTGAGGTCGGGAAGCCGGGAGCCGGTCACTGTGGGCAGCCCACGTTGGCAGCACTGGAAGTGATACAGCCAGCTCACCCCTAAATCTATCTTAAGAAGAAAGATTTTAAAAGGGCTACAAAGCCTTTTGCAGGGAGGTGGGCACCAGAGGTTCTGTGCAGCGTGTACCGCTCCCCCTGTTCGAGAATGCCAAGGCCTGGGGTGTCCCCGGCCTCAGCCCACCCAAACACAGGAACCGTGTCGCTGGGCTCCTGTCACCCAAGTTGGCGGCCTCTCCTGTTCTCCCCAAAGCATTTTCAGCCATGCCACAGATCACCCGTGAAGTTGGTTTAATTTTTTTTATCTCTTCCCTTTAAGGCTGGTCGGGTATGGACCACCAAGGGGGGGGGGGTCTGCCTGCCCCTTCCTCAGCACGGCCGCTCCTTGCTGACAAGTCTCCCAGCACCATTCAATGCCCACCTGCACAGCCAGCTCAGACATTCAGCGGTGGCTCGCTGTTGTCCTCCCAATTTAACAAGCTCTCGGTGGGCTGGTCAAGGGAGTGAGGACCACAGAGAGGGTAGAGATAGCCCAACTCCCAGAGGAGGGTGAAGGGGAGAGGGGCCAGCCCCACACTAGCAAATGGGTCAGCCGGACACTACCGGGGTGAGGGCAGCAATTCCAGAATGCATGCTCCTGACCCCAACTGGGCCACCAGCCTGACCCTGGGAGGGCTGGGGGTGGGGACAGGAGGAGGTGGGTCCAGGCCCTTCATCCCCTCCCAGTTCCCCGCGCCCTCTCCAAGCTGTGGCTGAGAACACCTCCGTTCTCAGACTGTCACCTGTCCCTAGCCAGGGGGATGCTGGGCCAAAATTCACTCCCCTCTGACACATAGGTCTTGGGGTAGTGCACCAGAGTAAGGAGTACTCCACAGGACCGGCCGTCCTGAGAATATTGCCTTTCAGGGTCGGTTCTGTCTGGGTCGCCCCTGAATCCCCGAGCTGGACAGGCAGTGGGTAGCGCTCAGCAATGGGTGGACGCACGAGTGGACGGACGCAATGCATGAAGTTTCCACCGATACCCAGCGGAAGTGGACAGCCCTGCTCCTCCCCTGAGGACAAGAAGGGGCTTCGCCGCGCACAGTAGGAGCTCCAGCGCCAGCAAGCACCATTGTTAGCAAAAGCCCCCACCGCCCCACCCCCGGCTTCGCCGCTGAGCTCCGCGCCCTCAGCCCGCTTCCCTCACCAGCCGCTCGGAGCCGCCGGCCGCGACTGCGAGCCAGGGAAAAGTTTCGCTGACCCCACGGCCCCGGCCGGAGTCCCGCGCCCAGGCCGAGGCCCCTCCCACCCGCACCCGCTCCGCCAGCCCGGCAGCCCGGGTGTCCGGCCCGGGCGCGGACACCGGGCAAAGGCGGTCAAAGTAACTTTGCGGGTGTCCCTGCGCAGCGCCGCGGGCGTCACCCCGCGCCTGGAGAGGGGGCCCGGCCGCGCCCCCTCCCGGCTGCGCCCCCTCCCGGCTCGCCCCCCGCGCCCCCGCCGCCCGCAGACGCGCCCCGCGCGCCCCGGTCCTACCTGGCCCCGGGCTCCTCTTCGGCGGCAGCGGCGGCCGCGAGCAGTAGCGCGCACGGAGGGAGGCAGGGGCCCGGCTCCCGGGAGGGCGGCGCGCAGGGGCGGGGGCTCCTTCGGCGGCGGCCGCCTCGCCGCGCGTCCGAGGCTGCAAGTGGGAGCCAGACTCCTCCTTCGGGGGGCGGGGGGCTCCCCGCGCCCCCTCCCGCCCCGCCCGCCGCCGGGCTCCGAGCCGCCCCGGCTCCCCCGCCCGCCGCCGCCGCCCCCCACCCGCGCGCCCGCCGGCCCCGCCTCCCCCGAGCCCGGGCGCCGGGAGGGGCGCGCTCGCGTCCTCGGTCCGGGCCCCTGCACCGCGATCGTCCGCGGGGCCCCCCGCCAGGCCGGCCAGGCCTCGGCCCTCGGCCCCCGCCGGGGCCCGGCGCCCGCATCCCGCCGCGGTGGGGCCGGGAGAGGGGAGGCAGCGCGGAGCTCCGCGCTGCGGAAAGGGAAGGCGGTCGCCCGCCGCGCCCGCCCCCAGCCCCAGGGACCGAGCTGGGCCGCGCGCGGGCGGGGCGGGGGCGCTCTCACCTCGGGATCTGCGGCCGCTGCGCAGGGCCCCGCGAGCAGGGGTGCGCGCAGCTCCTTCCGGGGCGCTTCGGCCCCCGCCTGCGGCCCGGACCCCTCCCAAGGCCTCCAGGACACCCTGCTCGGCCCCCTCCGGGCCTGGGTCTAGGAGCTCCCTGGCTGCCCCGCTTCTGCGGACCCCAGCTCCGATTCTGGAGGGGCCGGGGTCTTCCCCCTGGACACCCATCTCCTCCCCTCTCCCCTCAAAGGCCAGCACTGTGGGTGACCGCAGAGGGGGTAGGGAAGCGGCTCAGAACTATGGAGAACCCAGTGACTGCGGCCATGCCCGAGTGGTCAGTGTCCTGGAGTCTTTAGCCAGCGTCTCCTAGACAGCCAGATGAGAAGCGGGTGTGGCCCCTCAGGGGCCCCTGGAGGAAGGCTTGTGGGTCCCCTCCCCCACCCGGTCACATGCTGCTCCCCACTTCTCCCACCGTCAGACTAGGGGTGGGTGGCACTGCAGGCCTGGGCTGCTCTGGGGAGGCAGCAGGGAAACAGGTGCAGGCCGGACGTGGGTACAGTTACCAGGTGTGACTCCCTGGAGGTGAGACACCCTGGCTGGGCAATCGGTCCATGCAGAAGGAAAGGTGACTGCTGGCACCAGGCAGGAGGGAGTGAGCTCAGAGGGGCAGAGCAGGGCAGGAGCAGGCAACCTTCCTCCCCTGGGGGTGGGCTTCCAGGGGCTGGGGGCGGGGCAGGTTTTGGAGTAGGGTGTGGCCTTGACAGAGGAGGAAGGGCTGGGGTGCAGCCCGGCCCCCAGGACTGTGGATGGGCCAGGGTCAGACCAGGGCACGCCAGGCTGTCACCTCTCTCCTGCTTCCATGTCTTGGGACCCCATCTCTCCAGGGTTAGCGTCTGGAGCTTCCCTCCTCCTAGGGCTGCGGACTTGCCCAGGTCCCACGATGACAGGAGACCGGGGAAACGGGGCCCAGCATTCCGCAGACTCCACCTGCTGTCTGCGGAGGACAAGGTCCTAGCTTGCCAGAACCTCAAGACTCTAGATGGGGTAACTGCAAAGAATTGCCCTCTCTGAGTCACAGGTGAGTGTGAGAAAATTATGTGACTCTGATCTTCCAAAACCAGCTTCCCACCACCCCCATCTTACCTCCATGACCAGGCATCTGTGAAACACAGGACTGCATGCCTTGGGGCGGGGGGGAAGCTGGGGTCCTGTAGGAGCCCTGTGAGTGGGCTCTGGAGATGGGCAGCATAGGCCCACTCTTAAAAGAGCAATCTGGCAAACACGACAGACATTCTGCTTCTGGAAAAAAAAATCTCATAACACAGTAGCACTTGTTCCTGGACTAACAGAAACCCCACACAGTCCGCCCTGCTGCACCAACCAGGGGACGGCTTGAGTGGCTGAGAGACATTTCCCATGCACCTAACTGTGTGCAGGAGGCCAGGGGAGAGGAGGGAGGGAAGGCAAGCTGTCTGCCCAGAAGGAGCAGCTGGGGACAGGGAGGGGCAGGGCCGGCCAGGATGCCCCAGAGGAGCTGCAAGGACCAAGGGGAGCCAACAGCCTGGCAGGAGACCATCCTGTAGCATGCTCACTGTGCTAACAGCACCGGTGATTAACACACACCCACACACACACACACACACACACCCGACCCCATCCAGGAAGGGGTCCTGCCCGAGGCAGTCACCCCAAGCTGCTTGCAGCAGCCCCCAGTTCAAAGCAGACCTAAATGTGCAGCTGGAGGGAGTTGGTGTGCAAGGGGAACTTAGGAAGCTAGAGCTTGTCGCCAGAACTCAGCCCTTATCCCATGCAGTACAGAGAGCACCTGGCCCAGGGTCCTGAAGAAAGATGCATCTGTTTGAAAGGGAGAATGGCAAAGAGGGGGAGGGAGAGAGGAACAAGGCATCTTCTCAGATGTCCATCACAGCCAGGCTGAAGCCAGGAGCCTGGAATTCCATCTGGGTCTCCCACGTAAGTGGCAGGGGCCTGAGCACTTTGGCCCCCATTCGCAGCCTTCCCGCCATTGGCTGCAGGGAGCTGGATGGGAAGCAGAGCAGCGGGGACTCCTCTGGAATGACTGTCACAGGTGGCAGCTTAACATACTACACTGCCAGGCCAGGTTCTTTGTAGGATTGTTCTTTGTTCTACCTTTTCTGCAGTCACCAGACTAGGACGAGGGATGAAGATCCCGGGATCCGGGTGCTGGTGTGAGAGCAGGTGTGGGGCAGGCCCAGACACCCAAAAACACACTGACAGAGTGGCATAAACTTCTGTGACCTCCCAGGGTGCTCCATGGGGACGCTGTCACCAGCACACCAGCATTCACACACGTTTGAAGCCCTGGGAATGGCTGTGGCTGAGGCAGAGAAACCAGAAGAGGCCAGAGGCTGAGGTCAGCATGGGTGGGTGCATATCCAGAAGCAAGCTGTCCTTGCTTCTGTCCCCTGGGATCTGGCCAAGGTGTGGACCAGCCAGCCCAGGTCTGTCTGCATCCTGAGCCACAGCAAGAAAGCCACACTCGGTTAGGGACCCAGTGTGCCCGCAGGAGGGTCAAGTGCAGACAGGACTACCCAGCTCCTGAGCCATGCCCCAAGTGGAGGTCCTGCCTCCCTGCTTCCAGCTCAGGACTCGTCCCCTGTCAGACAGGAAGTCAAGGATGGTACACGCGGAGCACCTGCGCTCCGGTCGCTGTCCAGTACGTCTGAGCTCAGGAATCTTGTTCTGTTTAATTGTATTTGACAATGATTTTCTATCTGCTGGGTCACTCCCCTATTGCTGGCAACAGAAAGGCTAGGCCAGGTCAACACCAGAAGCCTACTCCTCAATCTGGGTCTCCTGCCAGGATGCCCGGGGGAGTGGGAGTCACATCCAGGCATCAACTTCGCCACTGCACCAAATGCTCGCCAAATGACAAGATTTATATATTTATCTGAAGGTTAGAATTACAGAGCAGGAGGGCAGGAGGGAGAGAGGAAAATAGGGAAGAGATACAGACCTTCTACCTGCTGTGCGCTCCCCAGCCAGGATGGCAGGCCAAAGCCAGGAGCTTCTTTCAGGCCTCCCACACGGACAGTGGGAGTCCAAATGCTCGGGCCGTCGTCTTCTGCCGCTTTTCCAACTGCATAAACAGTGAGCTGGATTGCAAGTGAAGCAGCCAGGACATGAGCCGATACCCACATGGGCAGCCAGTGTCCTAGGTCTCGGATTCTAACCCTTGCAACATTCTCTGAACCTTGGTTTTCTCAGCCAGAAGGGGAAGGAAGTGCCGGCTCCCTGCTGGGCTTGAGGTATGCAAAGACCCCAGGCCCTTTCTCCTGCTCCTTGTTACAACTCAAGTCATGGCCCTCCTCCCATGTGGGCACTGGCTGGAAGAGACCATCATGCCCCACTCTGTGGTTCTGCAGAGAGGAGCTCACTGTGTCCAAGGCCCCGCCCCTAACAGGTGCCTCTAAGTCCTCTCCCAGTGCCTTGGCCAACCTTACTGGCAAAGGAAGACTAGAGGACCCATTTTACAGATGAGAAAATTGAGGCTTCCAGAAATTTCCAGAGCTGTCCAGCCCATGTGTAGTAAAACTTGGGCTCTAGGACACCTGCCTCCCACTTCACTCAGCCGTCAGGGCACCAGACTTGTTCCATTCCAGTTACCCATCCCCCACATCCATCCCCCGCCCCAACACACCCCTCCCCCAACAAGGATGAACTGCTGTCCAGGACCCCAGCACCTTCTTCTGCACTCTGCCTGGTTGCCCTAGAGGGCAGCAGAGGCCTACGACATGGAGCCTGCCACCCCTGCCTCGGGCACCCACAGGCCCGCAGACACCCTGCTGCAACTCTCCAGGTCTCAGATTGCTTTCCTGGAAAGTGGAGGCGGGCAGGGACGTGGCGCACACTCAGTAAACTCCTGTCAGTCTCTGCTCCCTCGTACTGACCAGGCCCAGCCAGACACAGCGACCAGGGCTCAGGGGTCCAAGCAGGGTGCATCTTAGAACCTGCTGAACAGTAGCACCTCCTAAACCTCCTGGAGGGGTTGGGCAAATCCCTGCGGAGAAGGCAAAAGGGGCCAAAAGCCAAGACCTGGTGGTGGGATCCCTGAGTGGTTCAGTGCCCTATGCGACACTAGCGAGGGCACCTGTGGCCCTGGCCAGGCCTGGGCAGGTCCCTCAGGGTGTGGGTGGAGGCTGAAGACCAAAACCTCAACACAGTGGGAGTGAAGACAAGGAGGCTGGGCAGAGACGCAGTTCCCTGACAGCAGCTTGGTGCCAATGCCCAAGAGCCAACAGGTGCTGGGTGTCGCTCGGCCCAGGCACCCACGTCTCTTCGTTCACTCCTGTGATGGCCCCTTCTGCTCCGGGGTGCCGGGCAGCAGGAACTGCGGTGCTATGGGGTCCTCAAGCTGCCTGCAATTAACAGAGAGTAGAGGGCACAGCCTGCTGGGGACAAGGGCAGAGAGTACCAGTCAGGTGACACACACACTGCACAGCGCCAACAGACCCAGGAATGCTGGGCCCCATCTCCCCAGGGGTCTCTGTGCTGCTGTGCCTGTGTGAGCCTCCCGACCTATCCCTGCTCGGGCCAGAGAATAGCAGCAGGAAAT